CCTCTCTCTCTCTTTCTTACTCTCTCTTCCATACTCTCTCTCTCTCTCTCTCTCTCTCTCTCTCTCTCTCTCTCTCTCTCTCTCTCTCTCCCTCTCTCCTCTCGATAAAGACACACACACATGGTTTAGTCTATCAACGCCTTTTTTACGTATACGGTCGTAACAAAAATCAATTGAACGCTTACCATTGATGCTAAAGTGGTCACTGCCAAAGTGAGTGGTGATGGTCTTCACCTCCTCTGGTGTGATCTTTAGTTCGGGCGAGACGGCCCACACGGACCCATCCAGACCGCAGATGGCTCCCATCTTCACGTTTCCAGATTCCACCAGCTGCTTGCTTACATACTGATCCCAAGACATCTGAAGAAGATGGAGACTGAAATAGCGGGGGTGCTACTTCAAGTTTGATTGGATTGGATAATGTTAATTAGATGCCTTTCTTTGCATCCGTTAGGAGCACTTCATGTCATTCTGGTTGGATACGTTTCAGAATGTTGTAAACGTATTTTAGGGACGGCGACGAAAGTAGGGTATATTGCCAGGGTCACTTATTATTAACGTGATGGTTTTTGGTTGAGCCATTCATGGCGACTGATAGAATTTTCGGCGCTCCTTATCTCTAAGTTTCAGTATACTCAAAAAGTAACTGTCAGTTCACACTAACAGTTATATAGAAAATCTGTTATGCAAATGAAAAGAAAGCAATATGTAGAGCAATTTTTTTATTTCACAAGTAACATGTTATTTTTAGTATTTATTTTTAAATAGCAGTTACGGCCGGTTAGCTATTTTACCACCTGCAGCGGTTGACTCATTGCGCTATCAGTCACATACTTGTCGATAAGCCCGTTGGATAGCGTTCTCTGATACACGCATTGAATTTATTTTTATTTTCCTTTTAAAAATTTTGTTTTTTGAAAGATGAATATCAATAAAGAGAATATATAGGGAATTGTTAGTCTCTCTCTCTCTCTCTCTCTCTTTTTCTCTCTCGCTCTCTCTCCCTCTCTTTTTCTCTCTCGCTTTCTCTCCCTCTCTTTTTCTCTCTCGCTCTCTCTCCCTCTCTTTTTCTCTCGCTCTCTCTCCCTATCTTTTTCTCGCTCTCTCTCCCTCTCTTTTTTCTCTCTCGCTCTCTCTCGCTCTCTCTCACTCTTTTTCTCTCTCGCTCTCTCTCACTCTCTGTTTCTCTCTCGCTCTCCCCCTAGCCCCCCC